ATATGGGATTCTAACTAACCTCATGATTTTCATGCACTGTGGTTTGAAATATTGCGATTTCTTTGATCAATTTACACTTAACTTGATTCCCTGAAACAATGACCAATTGTGGTACTGCTAGCGAAATTGACTTTGCCATGTCTTCAGAAGTTCGCTTGGCAAGTTCTGTTCTGTGTCGTTGTTTAAGCTGATAAAGGAGATATTATTTTGAGTTGAATTTGTTTTTTGGAAAGTACCTTTTTAATTACGAGTTCACTTACATCATTCATAATACTGGCTAGAGCGTTTATGTGACTTCGAAGGTTATATTGCTGAGATACAGAAAGATTGGACTCAACAAGACCAAAGTTAAAGGCGATAGAAATAGCACCTAGGATTTTAGCTAAGGTGGTTGCTGGCTTCAGTGATACGCTTGGAATAAACTGTTGTTTTTTACTACTTGATGACCTAAAAGTTTCATATGTTTATGCTACTGGCAATTAGGCAGTAGAAAACCTTGCAGCGATTTTAGAAGACGACGCAACAATGGAAAGCATATCATGGGTCTCTATTTTTTCCTCAGATAGAGAATTTGACATTAAATTATATTGGTGACTAAAATCCGATCAAAATTCATAGCTTACTGGAGAAAAACGTCCAGTTGATATTGAAATCGAATATTAAATTTACACGTTTTGAGAAAAGACTGAATATTTGGCAGAACCGGCTTGAAACAATCTTCAGCGTACTCAGATATTTTCACTCTGAAAAGCCCTATAATCTAAAAACGATCGAAATTTCAAAGTAACTACTGATTCTCTGTTTCTTTTAAAAGCGAAGATTTTAACGGAAATCATTGACGATATTGGACACCATTCAAGGGATAAATTTTGAATGATGCTGGGAGCAATATGCTCATCTAAATTTGTCACCTTAAAATTCAAAAATAATTTTTCTTATTACAAAATAAGCGATGGGATCAAGTGGCTTATCTTGGACCATATTATTAATTGTTTTCTCCAAAAGGCGCAAAATATTACTCTTGTAAAAATACATCAGTAATTCGACTTTTTGTTTATTAGAATCCATGTTTATTTTTCACCTCTTGCTACCAAAATTTAAAATTGCCAATAACTATATATTTGAGATTACTAAAAATCATTCAGTAATTGCGGGGCGTTGAAGCTTCAAGGACATATAGGATTTGATGAATTTAAACTTTTATTCTTAAAATATTTAGTAATTTTCTTAAGATATTTTAATTTACTTCATTTCTCATATAAGAAAAGGCGGATCAAATAAGTGATTTATAATTTCAATGGGTGTTTCAAAATGACTTCGTAGGATCGAGCTGAAACCCTTTCATATGTGTTTTATGAAATTCTGTAAACAATACACTGATTTCTTTTCTAATGATATTTTTGTACCTTTATTCTTTGGTAACCTTTTTAAAATCAAACAAGATATCTCTTTATCACGTTTTTTCTCTTGCTTTTTGAACCCTAAATTAGCTTATATCTTCTAAAGAAAACCCTTATTAAATATTAAAGCATATCTCCAAATTGTCTGCCAAAAATTAGTGCAATGCAGATTATCTTTTACTAAACTCGTTGCTCATTATCATCACACCGAAGGAAACTTTTGAAACTGGTTTCGAAGGGAAATAAAGGCATCGATTCTTTTCATCGTTTGAATATAATAAGATGATCATAATTGCGCTGCTGTTGCATTTTCAACTCTGTGGAAGTAAATTTCAACATTTAAACCCATTTTAAATTCGCTATAGTTATTAGTGCATGTAAAATTATGTTTATGAGTTCTTTATTAATTTAATGTCATTTTGATCTCCGTCCATTTAGTATCATGGGTGTTCGTTAACGATAAACTTAAGTCGCTCCTACTCCCTAGTTTACGTTTTTCAAAGTTAAGAGGATTGGTAACGTTTCCGACACTAGTCATTAGAAAAGTTACTGGCTAAGCAATAGCCAAAGCTGATTCGTCACCTTCTACAGCGAAAATTCGACCTCGTTTACTGTCTATTACATGTCTTTTGTTCCATCATGTGCCAAACCAAAAAAATAAGGCGTAAATTCCTCTCAAGGCAATTTGGCCTAAAGTGATCCAGTGATAAGCCGCACATTATATGTAAATGTTCTCAAAAAATGTTAGCCAGTTAAAACAACAAAGAAACTACCTCTAAAAACAAGATTGTTTTATGTCCTGGTAAAGAAGAGAACTTGTAACAGCACATGCGATTCCCTGTTAAGTTGAATAAGGTGAATTGTTGAATTATGTCGACTAAGTAGCCTTGCCATTGATACTATTTGTACATTTAATTATGAATTGTTGCTAAATGGCCTCCTCTTGGTTCAGTTCACTGCAATAACTGGATGCCTAATATTACCATCTTACAAGTATGACCCAACACTATATCTTCAAAGAAAACTAAATGAAAAATTTATTATTCGGAAAGTTAATTAGGTGTTCGTGACAATTAGCTACTTGTCTAAATATGGCACCTTCTGGGTTTTTATGCTGAAAGAAGGTAGTGTCTGTGATTTGAATTAATAATGTTCATTTAGCATGAAAATCGTAATCTTTATGTTGGTTCAATAGGATTCCGATTTTCTGAAAAGCTGACTAAGTAATCTCAGTTTATTCTCATTATGATTTATACTCGTCAGATTATTACGTAACAATCCCAACCAAGAATAAATATAATCTCGAAGGAGCTAGAAAGTGACTACATTCAATCATAAAGAATAAATAACGGATTAAATTGGAAAATAATAAATACCTGTTGATAGAAAAAATAAAGAGAACGTTGTAAATGGCCTAATAACCGGAGCCACATCATAATTTTGATATCCACAGACTCATTTCCCCAATAATCTTAAATTCTTATTTAAAAGCCGAATATCACCTCAACATTTGTTAGTGATTTAATTTAAACAACCCCATTAGAGTCCAATTAACCCCAGATTACAACCCATCGACCACTGTAAGCACATATTGGCAATTGCTGACTCTCATTCAAAAGAAAGTGCTCACCACTGTCCCATTTCCGCTCTCCTTCTCGATGCCCTTTGCAATGATTTGTGAAAGGGTAAGGTAGTTAGGGACTAAAATCAGGTTACTCTATCCAAAGATAGGCCTTAAAATTTAGTTATTCGTGATAAGAAATACACTGTTTAAGGAAGAGCAATTTACTCTAGCAAAAACATAAATGCTATTGCATTTAAACCTAACATATGTATAGCTTTGATCTTTTTATTATTGATCGGAAATTTTGGAACGCCATTCCAAAACGTAATCATGAGAACTACTAATTGGATAACTCAGCATTCGAAGGGCAAATTCTTTGCAAATATTTTTTATTGGTAAATTGGCTTGATCAAGACCAGCTATTTAGGATTTACTAACTTGGATCGCATACAGTATATGCATCACGGAGACTGGGGATATGGACCTCTAATAATGTGCATTTGTGGTTTCTCTAATGCTCAGGAAGATAGCATATAATCGACACGCCATGCTGATTGAAAAAAGTTTTTATATTTAAAAAATTATGAATAATACTAGAAGTACATCCTCAAATTACGTCTAAAAGCACGTTAAGGTCAAGGCAATGGTAATACGAGTGGCTAAGGAAACTCTCCGCAAATGTTTCATATATTCATTCCTGTATTCAACCTGTCGAAGAAAAATATTTGGCTTATTTACAATGGAAAAGGGCTTTATTTATCTTTAATAATTAATACAGCAAAATTATCTAAAGAAGTGGTACTGTAAGGGGAGTTGTTATGTCTCCCGTGAACTTACATATGTACTTTGGCATGCCAACCACTTATATTATTGATTTGCATTTGGTTAGGGTTAATTAAGAGTGACCATGATATTGTACAAAGTGTTTTTATACTCGAAGTAAATGTAAATTAAGGGATAATATGTAGACACATTTGCAGAACAAGCAAGTTGCCTAATAATTGCCTTTCCTTGACAATGCCACTTTGACTAATCCAGCCAACAATTTAATTTTCTATGGCATTCACTCGATTAATCAGTCAATTCGGAAACTAAACTTTCGCAAAATGGGAAGTTTAGTTTTTGGCTTCTCACTGCCTAACTGCTTCACATTAACGTGTTGCTCAGTTACGAGCATGTATTTGGCATAACTTTCACCTTTGGCTTGTTTATCATTGGGGAATAAACAAGTGACCGCTTGGCCACTTTCTTATAAATCACAGAATGAATAATTTATGCAATTTTCCATACTTTATATTAGGTTGGCAACTAAGTCATTGTCGATTTCAAATAAGAAGGCAAATTTGGAATTTTTGTTTAAAAATATAACTTTATTCAATTAGATATTGGCCGTTCTTGTCGATGACCTTTTTCCATCGTTCTGGCAGATTAAAAATTCCCCGTTCGTAAATGTCTGGTCTTTGCTATTAAAAAACTGAATTAGGTGTGATCCGACATCATCCGCGTTGTTAAAAATTTTACCATTTAAAGCGTTTTGCATGGAACGAAACAAATGGTAATCCGAAGGCGCAAGGTCAGGGCTATATGGTGGGTGTGACAAAACATCCCAACCCAGTTCCAACAATTTTTGCCGAGTAACCAAAGATGTGTGGGGCCTTGCGTTATCATGATGGAAAACAACACCCTTCCGCTGATTTGATAATGCCGGCCGCTTATCTTCAATTGCATCCTTCAGTTTTTCGAGTTCTTCAACATACACATTTGAATTTATCGTTTGGTTCTGCGGCATAAGTTCAAAATACAAAATTCCTTTGTGATCCCACCAGACTGACAGCATAATCTTTTTTGGTGAATCTCTGCTTTTGATACTGTTTGGGCTGGTTGATCTTGCTTCACCCATGATCTCTTGCAAGTAACATTGTTATAAACTATCCACTTTTCGTCGCCAGTAACTAGGTTCTTCAGAAATGGATCATTCTCATTGCGTTTCAGTAGAGGCGAATCACAGATGCTAATCCGTTGCGTCAAATGAATTTCCTTTAACTGGTGAGGGATCCATAAATCAAGTTTCTTGACATAACCAAGGGTTTTTCATTTTTTTCAATGCATGTATGCGACACATTGAGCTTCTCTGCAATATCTCGTGTTGTGCTGTGCTGTTACGATTTGAATCGATAATGGCCTTGATATGGGTTTCATCCACTTCGACTGGGCGGCCAGATCGTTGTGAATTTTTCAGTGNAGGACCACTGTTTTGTTTTTCTCTCTCAGCAGCTCATAGAGTTTTCTACATTCCTTTATCTCAGCTGTTTTGGGTGTCTCTCTGTTTCCAATAGAGTTTATTGCTGACTGTGAGTCCGAAAGTATCACCGCTTTGGTGAATTTCGTATCCAGGCAACATAATTGGCGTAGTGCTATCCTAATGGCCTCTATTTCTCCTTCAAAAGCGGATCTATTATGTCCCGCTGCTGCGTAGAAAGAGAAGAGTTCAGAATAGACACCTGCACCAACGTTTGCTTGGTTTTCTGTGTATGACCCATCAGTGAAGACTTGGAGCCATTGATCTGCAGGATAGTTGACATTGATTGTCTCAAGGGCCAGTGAGCGCATTTGCTCGGGAGGAGTGTTTGATTTCCTGAAGAAATCGAGCAGTTGGGTGCGACACACTACATCAATGTCTGCTAATGGGTTCATGGGGAGAGAGAGGCTTTTTGGTTGATCATCGATTTGTAACGCTTTCTTCAGTTCTATGGCTTTCTGTATTAGACCAGATTGCGTTTTCAGATGTCTTGGTCTATTCTCATAGGAGCTGAAGAACTGGTCCATGGGAATGCGCAGTAGTTTCTCATACAGGATCAAGGCCTTCTCTTTGATAAGGGAGCCTATTGTGGTGTTTCCTGTAACTTGGAGCATTGCATCAATGGGTGTTGATTTTATCCCTCCAGTAATTAGTCGTAATGCTTGGTTGTGTGCCTTCTCGAGGGGTTTGAGAGTCACCTCTGTGGCTGTAATGAGTGGCTCACAGCAATACAACATTATTGGCTGAATAAACATCTTGTAAGTGGTGTTTAGAGTTGAGCGCGCACAGCCCCATACACTACCAGCAAGACGCTTCAGGCTTTTCCACGAACAATGCTTCAAACAATCAAGTAAACATTTTGAAGATTTCAACTTAATTTATGGTAGGATCGAGAATCGCCAGCTCGTATTTGTAGCGGATGGCTACACTAATGTGACTTGATTTTTGGTCAGTAATCTCTACGTCAACGGCTCCACAGCAATATAGGGGGAACAGGCGAAAGGTGGCGAACAAGTTAATGTGGGATGCATATCTGTCACAGAGCATGATCATGAAAATACAATGCGGGGTTTGCTAAATAATGTAGGAACTACGGCTTGGTGGCAAGCTGCGAGATCCCTGCGCCCCTAACCCCCTACCGTACATGCTCCCTTCACAACAAGTTCCACGGCCGCATTTTCCAAACTGTCTGAGTGCGCATTAAATTTCTTTTTTCTGTTATGACAGCGTTGTGCACTTCACATATTCTCCACCAAGAGATAAGTACTGTATAAATAAAAGAAGGAAACTTAGTTGTTTTGCGCCTACACTGTATAGCCGACGGTAGTAATGCGCATCGAAATCGTGACAATTTAAATAATTTATAGAAGTAAACAATGCTTGTACACAATCTCTCAATACATTCACGTGAATTTTGCAGAGTGATTCCCTCAATGCATTTCTCCTTGTTCCCTCCGCCTCTCTTTCACTGATAAATTTTTTATTTGCTCACATCAAAAAGCTTTGCCGATGTGCTGATTAACTGACCGCAGATCCTGTGCCCATCAGCCCACATTTTGAAGGGCGTCTGATGAACTGTGTGGTTTGATCGAGACTAAGCACACAAGTTTCGAAGTCAATTTTAAATTACCAACTTTTTTTTACGGAGTTAACCTGGAGTCAAATCATAAAAACTAAGTGCTTTTAGCTCTTACAAAGTGACCTGTACCGCTTATAGGCTTTAAATATGATTCAACTATTGACATTCCGAATTCATTAAGGAATTTGTGAAAGACCTCTTTTCAACTAAACCTCGCTTTGGCTTATTCTAAAGTATCGCATATGCAAAATTGGTAGAGGTCTGTTAGTTACCAACAGTAATAATAGCAGCATGGTATTTTTGGATTATAAATTGGCGTGTGCACAATGATCCCGTATTTATTATTCACGAATCTGCATTCTCCGCTCTAATCCACATCTTTACTGTTTTACCTTTGAAGCTAATTTAAAAATAAAAAAAATTACATTTGATTCTTGGACCAAAAAGAAACAAAAATGAATTGTCTGAAAATTTTGATTTCAGCCAAAAAACATGCAATAGTATTACACCGCTAGTGTCACGAATAGTTGGGAGTAAGGATGCACGCATTGGTTGACCAGCCAACAAATTTATTAAATTGAGCAGGAAGTGAGAGAGGGAGAGAATCGAAGCATAAAAGAGACAAATTCTGAATTTTAGTGTATTGAAATAGAATAAAAATGAAGAAGTTGTAGTGGCTGCGACCTACTCAATCCTTCGAATACATCACACTTTTGCCCCACCTATCTATTGCTCCTTTACGAATCTCATTATTGTACTCTATTTTCCCACTTCTGAGGTGTGCGATAGACTAACCTCCATGTGGTGCACCCTGGGCAACGTTTACTCATACGGCAAACAAAGTCTATTAACCGGGAGTTGACTTCTCACTTCAAACTACCATCACCTCACTCTATGCCATATTCGACTACTTTCACAGTACTCGCCTCACCTTTTTTCTATCTTTGTGTTTGCCTCTTTGCCATCTTTGAAACAGTCTTCCGTTCCCCCTCCCCTTCTCGACTTTTTTACTGTGATGTTCCTTCACCTCTGTGAAGCCTGAAGTCAATTAGAGGGCTAATGATAACTATCAAAACGTCTGACATTCTAAATAAATAAATGTCCATATTATCGACTTTGCTTGATATTTTTTTCGAGCTTTACTTGACTTTAAAAACTAAAGATTTCTTTAACGATCGAAGATAGTTGAAAAGCTTCCAATTCGACTGAAGTTCACCTTTGAAGTAGTACATTTCTCTCTTCAAAATTGTGGGCATTTTTCATTTGAATTTTTTTGTTAGTATTACATCTCTATCACCCAGATTAAATTTCCCCTATTAGTAAAAGAAAATTCAAAATATTGAGTTAATGGAACCACGTCTATCAGCAGAAATTGGCAATGCAAATGGATATACAAGGAATCTCTGAATGTGTCTAGTTCATTTAAAGTACCTCACACCATCTTAACCAAATTTTGCATTGAATTTAGTTCATAAGTACTCAATGCTCAAATTTCGATAAAATTTTTGCCACACTTAGTCAGATCATTAATTCCTAACGTACTGAAGATGACCCTAGATAGATCACATTTTGACAGAACCACTTTACAGTATTTTACGCCTGATCAAATAATACCTATGCATTTCTAACCTAGAGTCTTATATAATCCGATTTCCAAGCGAATGACACCACAGTCGTCTGCAATATCTTTAATCTACTTGAGGCAAGCGGAGGCTACTTAGAGTAAATTAAATTTACGCCTATTGCATTACAATTATGTTCTTTAAATTAGTAAAAAATTTATTTACCTCTCTATTGCGGATCGCCTTTTGAGCTAAAGGCCTTCCTTTTTCAGCCTCTTGGGTTCTAAGTAGCTATATCCTTATAATGTTGTCAACTTAACGTTATATTTGATATGTTAGTGAAAATTCTATTAAAATAGAACCACTCTCACTGATTATGATGCGAAAGACATACTATATTATTTAAAAGCGGGGTGTGCGATAGACTTATCTCCACGTGGTGCACCCTGGGCAACGTATACTCATACGACAAAAAAGTCTATTAACCGGCAGTTGACTTCTGACTTCAAACTACCATCACCTCACTTTGTGTCAAATTCGACTACTACTACTACAGTACTTGCATCACCTTTTTTCTACCTTTGTGACTGTCTCTTTTACAACTCTGAAACACCGTTCTGGTCCCCCAACCAACTCGATTTTTTTCACTTTGATGTTCTGTGGGACACGTCATCGCATGCGTGTACACATAGGCTTGGGGTGCGGCCGTACAACTTCGCGTACTGTTTGAGGACAAGAGCACGCAGCCAATAGCAGCTCAATGACCCTCATTTGTTTTATCAAATCCGCCATGTTGTATGACTGGTTTCCTTCCTGTAAACACTTTATCCGTGATATACGTATTGAATAAACGTGCTCCGTGCTACATGTCTGTTTCCTTTATAGCTGGGCTATAGCTTAGCTGGTTCTGGGAGTCTAGCTAGATGTTGGAGAATTTGCCATAGAGATTTCTGAGTCAGTCAGGCTTTACTAAGGTAGCAATCCGCTA